GTCCCTTATTCCCATTCTTTTCAACTGGGCAAGAAGGAAACTTCAGTGCCTCCTCACTCTTCTTTCCTGGAGAGCCGGTTTGGGGCCTGCTACCTCCCGCTCAGCCCCTCAGCTGTGAGAATTGGGTGTCTCTTAAACAGAAGAGAGACACCTGAGAGACAGAGCAGGAGGGGCAGCCAGGGAGGAAGGCAGGGGCAAGTAAAATGGCTCCTGCATTGCTAGTTCTCCTTGGATATACTCCCCATCTCCACCACCTGGGGGAGATGTCTCATGATCCGCCTCTTTGCCATGCTAGGGTCCAATATTCTTTCTCCTCTTCAGTTTTTGCGGAACCATGTTATACTTGCGGACTAGTGAGATGATTTTTCTGAATTTTCCTTTCTCACCACATTTCTGTCTTAATGTGTCAACAGGCTCAGCACTCCCTGCTTTGGTTCCATTTTTGCAGTCCTGCCTAACCTTTCTCAGGCAGTGAAGCGAAGTGGAATGTGATGCTGATAGCAGGCACTCCGAGGAAAAAAGATAAAGAGGCTTTCTGAAAGCATCTCTGAGTATACATACAACAAACTAACTCCTACGCCGAAAGAATAATAAAAATAAACACATTTCGTCAAGGAAATGAGATACCTACCAATCACCTGCTTTTTCCTTTTAAAGAAGAGTTTAATTTCTCAGTCAAGTCACAACCCAGCAAATGTGTGGAAACAAATTTCCAGTTAACTTTATTTCCATGAACTTAAACCTGATAGTCAAAGGACTCACGTACATTTCATCTTTGCTTGTGGTCAAGTATCAAGGGATCCTAGGCAATGCTGACCTAAGAGATTCCATGAGATAGGGCAAAGGAATGCAGCCAGAAGGACAGTAAACTGAAATAAGCATCCAACCCAGCCGGCCTGTTTCCTTGTTTGCTTCAACATTAAAAATGGATATCCTGAGGCCTGAAATCTGCTTACGTAACAGCCACTAGCTGTTTGAAGTTGATGGGCTGTTGGGATAAGAACTGCTGTTCTGAGATGGAGTCCGGTTCCCCCCATTTGTGAACAATGATCAAATAGTTAATGTTTGAGTTTAGCTAATGCAGACAGAAATGCTTTGCCTCATAAGGACCCTGTAATTTGAAATGCTCTCATCTCTAATGCTCTTTGTTACTATATAAAAGTTTGATTCAGTACCAAATTGACAGGAACATCCCTGTAAGTAGTTCAGTTCCCAATATTATACAGTGATCAAAATGGGAAAGAGAAGATACATCTGATTCTGATGGAGAGACCTCTCAATGTCAAAAGTCTGCATATGTAAATGGCGCAGTGGATTGCTTGCTGACTCACTCTGGTGTCCAAAATGAGTAAAGGGCTAGGAAATGAACTCTAAATCCCGACAAGTGTCATTCACAAAGAAGCCAACTCAATGAATCTTCCTCACCTTCCTAGGACTAACATAATCATGTCAGGCAATGGAAGCCTTAGTCATGACATTTCAGACTCTGAGATGACAACCTCAAGGTCTGGAAAGAATGACTCTGTTACTATGAAATCAGATTTCCCAACTAAGAACAATGGACCATCTGCTTTTGGAAGAGTCTTTCTTCTTCACAGGCAAATCTGGCAGGTGTCAGCTTACCTTCAGAAAGCCAGCATTCTTAAAGTGTATCCATTTCACATAAAATAATAAAATACCAAAAGAGAATAAAGATAAACAGCATTATGTGTGAAGTACATGGGAGTGACTTCACATTAAGAGAGAAGAAATCGATGCTTAAAGCAGGAATCATTTTGTTGTTGTTGTTGACAGTATTATAGATGTCCCTCCTTTTCTCTCCCTTTGCCCCCTCCACCCTAAAGCAGGAATCTTGACCACAAAGGCCTACAGGTGCCAGGAAGGTAATATAAATCTATAAGGTTGGTTGGGTTAGATACTTAAGGAACGATAAAGGCTAGCAAATTTCAATTGTAACAAGACAAGATGTTTAATTTTCCAAAAGAAGCCAGATATCTGATTCTCTGTGAAGTTTCCAGACTGTTCAGCAATGTTGGCGACTAATTCAATTTTCAAAAAGAAAATGTTTACAGGTTAAAAAAATTATAGTCTAGAATTTACCCTATGGGCCACTAATTTGCAAGCTCTGCTCTAAATGTAATTTTAAATAACGCAGTAATAAACAATAATTTTAAATTACATAGGGTAAATTTAATTTTAATTTATTAAATGTAATTTTAAATAACGCAGTAATAAACAGAAACCTTCTCACGTAATAATAATCACACTAAATCACCGAGCCTTGGTTTCTGCCCTACGACGAGGGACCAGTCCATGCAAGGGGAGGTAGGAGTGGGGGAATACCTGGGGAGCATTTCCCAAATTACAGACGTCTGAACTATCTCCACCACCACCATCAGGCCTGCAGCCCAGAAAAAATAAGAGTCTGAGTAGAGGGTACACAGCTTCCAAAAGCTCCTCAAGAGCTGTGGGGGCACACGCTCCCAGAAAGCTTTGTATAACTGGGAGGGATGCATCCAAACTGTAGAGACTAAAGTCACTGAGCCTAAGACAGCCGTGGGCAAACTATGGCCCGCGGCCCGGATGCGGCCCATTTGAAATGAATAAAACTTAAAAAAAAAAAGACCGTACCCTTTTATGTAATGATGTTTACTTTGAATTTATATTAGTTCACACAAACACTCCATCCATGCTTTTGTTCCGGCCCTCCAGTCCAGTTTAAGAACCCATTGTGGCCCTCCAGTCAAAAAGTTTGCCCACTCCTGGCCTAAGATGTTAAACAGCATAAGTGACGTGGCTCTGAAAATAATAACTGCTAATATCAAAGGAGCCTAGAGTACCCATAGTCAGTGTTGCTGGTATCAAATTCATTATTTCAGTCTCACTGGCAAAAAGAAAACAAGCAACTGTCTACCTGTTCACTGTGGAAGATTATAAAAATAGACGCATTTTAAGCATCAGTGTATGCATGCCATGGGCTTGTGTGCATCTATGTATATAACTAAAGCATTCTAGGTGTGTAGGTTCATTCTTCAAGAAGGGGAGGAGAGTGTCTTATTTCCACATGCTGCTGCAATGCAGGTAGAAAATGGTTAACAAATCCTTTGGTGTGTTTTTCTACTTCCTAGCCTTGAAAAAATTACAGCAGAATTTTTTAATAAGATGGCTAAGCCTAACCAGGATTACTATGTTTTTTAGTTCTGATCTACCTGTGATTAGGTAATGTTTTGCTAATCTCTTGCTGTTATTAAACAATGCCTCGTCTAAACCCCGCTTTTGTTTTTAAGCTGGCGCCCTCCTAACTCACCTTGTAAATGGAATCCGTCTTCTAGGTTGGCTTTCAGGTCAAAGCTGCTCCAAGTGGCTTATCCTCAGACGCCTGCAGCTTTCTCCTGGGAACTCTATTGACCTTGCTGGGCTTATCTGGTAAATTGCAGGAGTGGCTCCTTCATTTCCTTCTCTTGTATTGCAGTGAGGGGCAAGAGCTAAAAAAGAGAGAATACAGTCATGTAGTGCATCTCCACAGAACTTCATGAGTCTCTCAGGGGGACTGGCCAATCAGAAACTTCCTTCCAATTTATCTTCTGAGGAGGGAGGGTATCTCAGCTTTTTGCCTCCTTTGCTCAATCTTACGTGATTTCAAAGACATACCCATTGCATTCCTCAGCAATAAGCAACATACATCATTTACCTCTTACTCAGAGTTTGGAGTAAGAAAATGCTCAATTTATATACCAATACATTCTAAGCAGGCCAAGTATCTCTTCCAGAAATATACTTAACCCTCCAATTCAATATAAACCTGTTTTTAAAAACAAGAAGTATGAAGTAGCTTCATCACACATGCACATCCATGTTCACTACCAGTGCCTTGATAAAGACCCACTAATAGTCAATGAGCCCTAACAGAGCAGAACTGTCACCAAACTCCTAGAACAGTCCTGTAGCAAAAAGCTAATTATACTATCAAAGAACAGCTTTCAACTTCACATAGTTTCTCAGAAGGAAAGAAAACAATATTTTATGAGAAGATCAAATAGGCTCACTTCAAGGAAAAAAAGAAAAAGGGTGGGAAGAGATTAACCAAAGACCTTGTATGCTTATATGCATAACCCATGGACACAGACAATAGGGTGATGAAGGTCTGGGGCCATGGCTGGGGTGGGGCTAGAAGAGGACAATTGGGGGTGAGGGGGAGGATACATATGTAATACTTTCAACAATAAAGATTCTTAAAAAAGAGAAGAAAAACCTGAGGAGCAATCCAGAGTGGAAGCTAACTCGGTTACTCTCTGGTCCTGAAATGTGACCACAGTTTTTCCTTCGAGCCTCTCTAGCAGGTGCATTTCTTCACAAGCCACTAAAACAGAAACAGATTTGATAATATTTTGCTAGTACAACACAGTCATTCAGCCTCTTCCCCCTCCACACAATAAATAAATAAATAAATAAATAAATAAATAAATAAATAAATAAATTTTTAATCTCTACTATGTTGTAAGACAAGTCCATGTGTCTTGTGGGTCCTAAATAAAATTTAACTGATGACTATGATGATGACATAGAAGAACTCAGGTTAGGGTCCATCAAGATTATTTTTGTATGCTCAGCATTAGATCTGTTTATTTTCTGCAAACACTACTCAATCTATGCTCTTTAATCCCGTGTAATTATAGGCAGAACAAATATGAGTGGTCAACTACTGAAACTCCCCTCTCCATCTTTTTCCTTGCTCTTTCCTATGATGTATTCTGCCAAGTTTTGGAAAAGGAGAGAATACTAAAACAGGAAAATAAAAGAAAAATGAGGTAAAGAGCCCCCTGTGCTAAACTGCATTTCAGTTTTCCTACCTCCACCCCATTCCTCTTTCCTAGTCTTATTCTCCATGACTTCTTACCATCGTACATTGACAAGTGAGAAGGTAAAGAGAATAGAAAAACTACAGGATAAGATGAAGGCTACCTTTCCACCTCTATTTCCCCCAGTCCAGGAGCAGAGCTGAGGGAGAAGGCAGGATGAATACAGCCAGCCGTACCTAAGGAATTCCCCCTTTCTTCCCCATAACACACTCTGCATGTCCTGTCTCCAGCCTCTGTAAACCAGACATTGGCCCAAGAAGCAGTTCCCCACTTCAGTCATCCTTTCCCTTAGTCTTTGCCTACACATCCCTCAAAATCCAGCTCAAATCTACAACTCTCATCTCCCCCCCTTGATCTTCCCAGCTAGAAAGGAACATCTTCTCATGGCATCTGGCACTTTGGTCAATTCTACTGGTGTAAGGTGATCTTGGTTGTACGTGTTGTCTATACTTCTTGTCTCCCCTACCGGGCTGTGTGGACTCTGGGAACCAGACCTTACTTCCCTGCACAGAGTAAGTGTGAGAGTTAAAATGTGAAATTTACAAGGCTTTGACTTATGCCTACTTTGCAAGAAATGAATCTATTATTGTCCATTTTGCCAAAAGTGTGCATTTTCACACTGTGTATGCAATGCCAAGGAATAAGGGCTTTAGCTTGTTCTGAGACTATAATTAACATTCATATGGACCTTCTGTGCAACTTTCAAAAAGACAACCACGATAAAGTGGAGTGCCTTCGATAGCCTTCAGGGAGGCTGACTACTCTGTATAAAAAATTACCAGTCCATCAATATACAGTTCAGATATAATCAATCATCCCTGATAGTTACTGAAGGCAGAAATATTAGGAGTATTTGTTTTAATTCAGCTTGAAACACTTGAATAGGGCAGAAACATTTATATTATCACATTTGAATTCCAAATTTCCAGGTGACTAATATATTGTTTTATTTAAAAACAGGACATTAACCAAATGGCAACTAACCTATATTTCAATTAAGAAACTGTACAGGGTCTTGTTTTACCGTGCACATAAACTGCGTGTGGGCAGAAGTCCAAAGGTACTAAGTTTATAAAGTTCAAGTTTGATTACACGTTATGACAACACACACTGAAGATAAATTCTTAAAGCTCTCACTAAGAAATAAACTCAGAGAAGGGAAGAGGTTGTTTCCTTTTTAAACGATAGCCAAAATTGATATTCAAACAAAAATTATACCTGGTTTTTATCAACACACACAAAAAGAATCATGTTCTAATTTAACAGTATCTTTTACAGATCAAAAAGGCCCCCGGCATCCTCCTTCAAAGCTATTAATAGAGTGAAAGTTGGAAAGGTTGATTCGAACAAAGTCTTCTATGCCAACAAGTACTCCGATAGGAATATCTGTAAAATCTCACTGGGAAGTTTAGAGATCTGGCAAGGGCTCCTTCTGAATGGCTCATTCAGGAAGCAAATGATCCATTATCTTTGCAATAGAATTTTTCCTGTAAGTCCTGTGACTCACCCTCCTACAGCCTGAATTTTGCCCATTATACACCAGATTCTTGTCCAGCATACTCCCCACACATTCCACTCATTTCTTATTCAAGCCCCTCAGAACACAAGATGTATGTGTCCTGCGTAGCTACTAAGTTAATGCATAGAATATAAAAAGGAGACAAGATAAAACAAACTTCATCATTCTGTAAAATACTAAAGAAAGATTCTTAAAATGGTGAAGTCAGTAAAGACAGCCAGGATAACCAGAGAGCAGTTTTACAAAGTTGGCAGTGCACATAGCAAAGTCCATTTCACAATACAAACAAGAGACCAGACACTTTTGGCTCTTTTCTATTCATTATGTGGCCCATGACTTGGACTCAATGCTTATTTCATTTCCATGAAGGACTGGTCTTAATTTAGGGTTAAACATCCTAAATTGCTTTCCCCAAAAACTGTAACACAAGACATGCTATAAGACCCTTCTTCATCATCTTGTTTACTTTGCCTACTATATCCACTAAATACCTTGGTGAAAAGATCATTATTTTGCTTTTTTTTTTTTTTTTACTGGCAGCAATGTTTAGACAAACAATTGCTTTTTCTCTTTCTACCTGTGATATTGCCAAGTATTCTGAGAGTCTCTACAGTGTCTAAGTTGTTGGAGAATAGTTTTCATTCTCACTCCCCAAACTCCTAGAACAGTCCTGTAGCAAAAAGCTAATTATACTATCAAAGAACAGCTTTCAACTTCACATAGTTTCTCAGAAGGAAAGAAAACAATATTTTATGAGAAGATCAAATAGGCTCACTTCAAGGAAAAAAAGAAAAAGGGTGGGAAGAGATTAACCAAAGACCTTGTATGCTTATATGCATAACCCATGGACACAGACAATAGGGTGATGAAGGTCTGGGGCCATGGCTGGGGTGGGGCTAGAAGAGGACAATTGGGGGTGAGGGGGAGGATACATATGTAATACTTTCAACAATAAAGATTCTTAAAAAAGAGAAGAAAAACCTGAGGAGCAATCCAGAGTGGAAGCTAACTCGGTTACTCTCTGGTCCTGAAATGTGACCACAGTTTTTCCTTCGAGCCTCTCTAGCAGGTGCATTTCTTCACAAGGCAGTTTTAAAAATAACAACCTTAGTCTGATTATTTTTCTAGCTTACTCTTTAACTGATTTTTTCTCTTTTTACTTATGGAGAAGGAAAAAGTAACTATACACACATATCCTGAAAGATTATGACTCAATAAAAGTGCAAGATTTATGTCTACCCAACATCCTCTGCTGTGAATGTTCCTTTAAGCACCATTTTTCTGCCAAAAAAGAAAGAAAATGTTTGATCTAAACCCCCTCCACCTCTACAATAAATAAATAAATAAATAAATAAATAAATAAA